CATTTATGACCTAGCTGAAGTTTTAACATCCAGCTGTTGGTCACCATAGCTCCAGAGTGTTCCATGCTTGGATCTCAGCTGGGAATTGCAACAAGTGCTATCTACCAACTACAGACATACACACTGGTGTCTCCCCCACTACTATCTGCTGAGGAAGTGCCATAAGATAACTCTTAAGAGTAATTCCTTTGGATCAAGCCCTGGGATAGCTTGGAATAAAGCCCTTCAAGGGAGGACACAATGGGTGGGTGTTGGACTCTGTCTCCATACTCACATCTTCCAGGGGTGTAATGGATGCACTTTCCCCTCCGTAGTAGGAGTTACGATCCATGTGAAGGACTTTCTTTCCATTCACTGACATAATCCCGGAGAGGATGCATTCCTGAGGAGAGGAAAGGATGCAAAGGACATGTTAGCAGCACTGGAGCCTGCTCCTTCCCAACTTTCCCAAGGAAAAGCATGTGCAGACAGCCAGCTGCATGCCTGGATCTGCAGGAACCTGCAGAGACCTCTGGAAGTAAAACACACCAGTTGCCTCACTCCGGAATTAAGACACCTCTTGGAGGCACATCAACCCCTTAACAGGTTTGCTCTCTGCTCTGGACAAGCCACCGAGGTGTTAGAAACACACAACCACCACCTATCAGGGCTCCCCTGAAGAAGTTTATGGGAATTTCAGGCATTTGGGGCAGATGAGGCAAATCTGTCATCCTAAGCCACCAGCTATCAACATAGGGATGTCCATGGAGAGGCAGTAGGAGCAAGAAATCTTGCCTGGACTTCCATTAGTCTCCTCAAACCCTGAGTAATTACTATTTGCCACACTGGGACATGTCAGAGAAGCAACAGCTGCTCTTAGGGCAGCAGAAAGGATGAATTAAGGCATTTGGGAGCTTTCCCAGCAGACACTGTGTTGTCCTTGCTCTGGGATTACAACCCCTGAGGTTCCTTGGAGCAGCACCTCAGCTGCTGTGTGTCAGCACCAAGAGGCTGAGGCTCACCACAGAGGACACACAAGCTGCAGCTTGCAGAACCAGCTCAGGACTTGCACCACTAAATCCCATTAAAACACGACTTTGCATCAGCTCTGGCATTCACAAGCCAAAGAGCTTAACAAAAACTCAAATGCTTGAGTGCTCAGGGTGGCTTATCCTGCAGGTTTGACTGACCTTGCTCTGCCTCAGCTCCCCCCAGCAGCAGAGTTGTGTCTGCAACTGGCACAGGCTCTCCATGGACATCCCTATGTTGATAGCTGGTGGCTCAGGAGGACAGATTTGCTTCATCTGTCCCAAATGCATCAACACGATCTCACTGGTGGGTCCCAGCCACATCTCACATTATAGGGTGACTCTTCTCACACTTGGACAGGGCCTGGAGCAATCTGGTCCAGTGGGAGGTGTCCCTGCCCATGGCAGGGGATGGAACTAGATGATATTTAAGGTCCTTCCAACCAGTCTATGACTATGATTATCACTCAGCCTGTAAACCTCCATCCAGCTGCTGAGATGCCACCGCTGCACATCTGCTCACCCAGATCTGTGTCTCCATGAGATCTTTTGTGTTTGCTCTCTGAGCACCTCATCAAGACTCTCCTCTCTGTCACTTCCCCCCATGGCATGGAGGAGGTTTAACTCAAACTCCACTACAGCAGCACTGGCCAACATGGCTATCAGTCTGCACACTGAGGCAAACCACAGACACCACAAGTCTCCCATTGTGTGTTGTTTACAGGACATGTAAATCCCAATTCCAGTAAACCCTCAGTGTAAAGGAAGCTTTAAAATCATCCTCAGCTTCCCCAACCCACTCAAGGAAGCTTTCAGGGGGTTATTTTGTTCTGAAGGTGCAAACATCTGCAGGTACAGGAATTGCTGGACTGACAACTTGCTGCTTGTGTGCTTCCAGGTGGCAATGGGCAAGCAGCCTAGAGACCAACCCAGGCCTGGGCAGCATTGCAGGGAATGTAGCAGCAGGGCCAAGGAAGAGATTCTCCCCCTCACCCACCAGGATGCCACCATAATACAGCCAGGGACCTGAGGAGCAAAGCCGAAACTGCCCAGAGCTCAAGAAGAAGGATGCTCTGAATTTAATCCCTTGAGTCATGGGGGATGTCAAACTCGGTGCCCATAAGGCTTCACGATCAGTTAACCACAGTGCTTCCCACAACAGCTCTCCATGATCCATCAGCTGCTCCTTCCAGCACCACACTATCCTTCCAGGTAAGTCCTACAAGGTCCCTCCTGTTTTTCCACACAGGCTGGAGCACAAAGAGACCCTCACAGGAGACACAGCTGCACCAAACCCTGTGTGAAGACACTACTGAGCACCACGAGCTGAGGAACCACAGAAGTGAAAGTGACTGTACAGCGTCAGCTACAATGTTAATGATTTACCACATGCAACGTGTGACTGTCACACCAACTGCACCACCACAATCTCCTCAGCTAGACTGCAGCTCTGTGGCTGCACTCTTTGCTCTACCCTGTGGTTTCATCCCCCCTGGGACACCTCCCAGAACCCTGGCTCACCAGTTCTGCCAGATGGTGGCACAGGACTGCAAGTGTCCATGCTGGAGCTGAGCCATAAGGAAGCCAACCAGGATTTCACAACAAATCAAGTACCAAACAGAACAAGCTGCAGTAAAAGCTGCATTCATTGGTCTAGGTGTCAGCTGATTTCCTTCCTCCATTTAACCTCAAAGCACTTCTTGCTCTGTCTTCCCAGAAGACACACAGGGAGCATGGATCCCTTTCCCAGGTTGCCTGCAGCGTCCCCTCAGAGGGAATCTGGGTACCAGCAGAAGATGTAAGAGGCCTTAAGTACCTTTCCAACCTCATTTCACACCCATTAAACACATCTGTGGGGACTGAGGTGGAGATATTACGCTATTATTTTACCCAAGGCTCGTTTAACACGTCAGTTCCATCACCCAAACTCCACCCTGGAGCACTGAAATCCCTCACAGGCCTTTCCCTGCTGCTTCCCAACGAGGTGACAACACAATGGATTTAACCTCCCAGCTCAGCAATTCCTTTGGGCTGGCTGACTGCTGGCTCTGCCCATCTGCTGGGCCGTGACCAGGAACCAGCCTGCTATGTCCTGATGTCGTGTGGGTCAGGGAGAGAGGAAAACAAACAGCCTGTCCTGATAAGGGAAGGGCTGGAAAAGAGTTTGGACTGCAAATAGAAAAGGGAAGTGCCAGAGTTCAGATCTGGGGGATTTGGGGTGCATTAAACATTAACACCACCAAATGGGTGACACTGAGCAGCAGGGAGACACAGCCGGGAGAGCTCCAGGGATCCAGCTGGGATGGATCCTCGCCGGAGTCACACTGCTACTACAATCCACTGCCTCAGCCAGTTCAGGTTACCACAGGCTCCTGGGAGCTCACGTTGTGCCGCTCAATGAATGACAGAGCAGTCCTGGAGCGATCAATGTCGGCTGCAGCACAGCTCAGCTGCTTCAGACAGACACAGCAGAGCCAGAGCACCAGGGACACGCAGACAGCACACCCAGTGCAACTCCATGGGAAAAACACAGGAATAAGGGGTAACTCGGCAGGACTGGTGTCTCCGTGCTTGCTTAAGGCCATCAGCTCTTCCCTGGCATGCAGGAATTGGTGACAAATAGCCCTTGTGCGTGCAGGAATGGAGGGAAGGAAGGAGGTTTCCATGGATTTTCTCCAAGTAGGGCGGCAGCTCACAAAGGCTCAGACAGACCGACGGAAACCCGAGCCAGAGTCAGTCCGTCTAACAGCACCGAGGGGAGGACTGTGAGCTAACACCGAGCAAAATCCCCGGGGTTTGGCACCACCAGAGCTTTCTGGGAAAGGCAGGAAGGTGCCCAGCAGGAAGGTCTCACAGCTCGTGGCCACCACCCAGGAGATCCCACCTGTATGGCTGAGCACAACCCAACGCTCTGCTCATCCCACACAACTCCTCACAGCACCTCAACAACCCCCTCAGTGCCCAAGGGATGCTGACTTGGTCCTCACAGTCACTTGGATATTCCTCATTTAGGCTTTTTAAGGTGCCTACAGGACTAAATCTATCTTGAGCCAAGAGTTTGCCTCCTCCAGAAAGTGAATGTGCATCTTCGTGGTGGATTTAAATAGCTTTAAGGTGGCAGCTGGCAGGTAAGGAGCTTAGCTCACCATGTTGGTGCCTGCAAAGAGTGAAACCCCAGCAGGGACATGGTGTTCACCTACTGGGGCTGAACAGGATGGTTTAATTAGCCCCAAAATTCGTGACAAACAACCCACAGAGTTAGAAGCACACAGAGCAGGTAATGAATTCCTGTCACGGGGCACAACATCCCATCCCAGATAATCTGGTGAGGAAGTACTTCCAGCCCAGAGAGGTGTAAATGAAGCCTGAAATGCAAACAGGAGGAGTTTTCCAGCCCGTGATCATCACACCAGGTTAAAAACAAGTCTGTGCAGTCAGTCTGCAGGCAGATGCTGCCTAATCTGCAACACAACACACACAGAGCAAGCCTAAACCAAGGACCTGAAAGCCAGTAAGATTCCAACAGCTTTAGGAAATCATTCCCAGCAGCACCTCCAGGGTGAGGCAGCTGAAGCATCCAGACCCACCAGTGGGCCCAAACACCTGCCCCCAGCACCAGGGCCTGGCACCTCAGCCCTGCTCCCTGCACACAAGCACCAGGAGGTTAATTACACCTCCTGTATGTCTGAGGCTGTTGTAACAGCAGTAACTCAGGATTGAAAATGCACTGGGAATGCCCCTGGGATTGCTTTTCCCTGTAGTGCTATGACACATCTCCATGAGCTTGGCACTGCAATGGGGTCTCTGATTAGCACACAGAAGGGAAAAGATGGAATAGTCTGAGTCCCAGTAATCCCAGTCCTTTACTACTGGTTGAGGAAGAGATTAACACCTGAATTATCCACGTTGTGTTTCCAGACCCATCAGAAGTGGAACTCACACATGCACTCACATAGCAGTGGCCTCCCAGACCCAACCAGAACGACAGCCACAATGGATGCATTTGTGCTCCTTTACAAAGGCTCCAACAATTCCTTTTCTTCTCCTCTTTAAACCAACTTTCACTTTGGAAAGAGAAAGAAAAACCCCTCTGGATCAGCAGCCTCTCCCAGATGGGCTGGATTACAGCTCTGATGGGCTCTGTATGAGTCCTAGGGGTGAACAAGACACAGGATGGACACAAACAAGGGGCAGCTTGGCAGGGGCAGAACACTCAGTACTGGCCCACAGGATCTCATTTCATCTTGTTTGCATCATGCAGCATCAAAGTTGGTACTTGAGGTGCAAGCTGGGATCTCTGGAGAGGAAACACAACCTTGGAGCTACCACAGAGGCCTGGTGGGACTTCAGCAGCACAGTTCACTTGTGCA